CCCTGTGTTCCCGTACCAGTGCCCTGTACTCCAGATTACAGCCACGAATCCTATCCCTCCCTTTCTTGCTACTGTATAAATCACCCCTCGCTACATCGCGGCTACAACGTGTCAGTCAGCGAATATTAAACGTCTCCTAATCTCGGCTTGGCTTACAGGATGTCCGCCAGAGGTTCTTATATAATGGCTACAGAGAAAACGAGATTTAAGGTCATTGGTGGGCTCCTGCAGGGGTCACGGGAAGTTCACGTTTGCTCCTACGAAGTTTAAAAACGAATCAGTGGATTCATAATGTCTGCCTCTCCCCCTCTTTATTGACTCGAGTTTTTACGTTACTGAGGTAAATTGTCAATTTTTGTTATATTATTTATTGCCTATTCAACGACTTTGTCAGTAGCTTACAATTTTCAGTGCTGAATTATATGATAAACAATAAGTTTGAAGACCACAGAAAAAAGAGTTCTTGGCCTAATTTACAGTACTATACCGACATTTGCCTGGCGGAACTGAGGGAAATTATGAAGAATATCATTTGGAAAAGCCAGCCTTCGAGCCGAGATTTGAATTTGTGACCTTCCGAATACGAAGACAGAGAGCTAACTACTCTGCAGCGACTGTTGGTGTTATTAATTTTGAGTATAAATCTTGAGGAATATAATATGTTCTAAACTTTAACGTCGAACTTGGTCTGTTGAATTTAACGAAGAACAAGGCGCTGATGTGAACACCAGAACTTGGATCTATGCGAGGGGAAGCAACATAAGAATAGAGAAAACTTCATCATGACGATGATGGCGATACATTCCTCCGAAACGTTAATGTAACCGTCTATGTGTCCACATAAAAACATGGGGATGAAGACTACAAAACCGTTGAAATAGATTTTTGCTTATTTTTATGTAATTAGGACTGAGCAACTTATGAGAAATTAGTTGTTTCAGGTCTGCGATGAAAATTCGTTAAAGATTCTTAACCCTTGCAGATTTTAAGATGTCATTCCAAAAGAACAGAGGACAACCATTTATCAAGGGCAGGGTAAATGTAAAATTGTCCAAGATGCTCAATTAAGCACCACGCCATAAGGACATGAAGGAGTGGAGGTACAACTTCACGCATTCCTAACCTCGGCATTAGATTGAGGTACATGATCAGCTTTATGCCCCGGCCACTTTACGTCTGAGAAGAAAGCCCCTGGTACTCGTGGGATTGGAGGATCGGTGGACCCCTGAGTCGGTCTACAAGCGGTGGCGGAGAGAAAAATTCTGCTTTTGCTGGAAATCGAAACCTGGCTGTCTGAAATATTGTTTGTTGCAAACCTGCATTGCCCACTCTCTGGATGACGTAATATATACGGCATTTCTGTCTCTGACTTCAAGGGTAACT